TCTATCACCTGGAAGCCCTGTATCCAAGATCCAGGAACATCTGACTCTAAGAAAGGGCCTCCAGGGAACACCCTGGCCCTGCCGCCCTCAGGCTCCTTCTCTTCACTTTGTTCCGATCACTCCTTACCCTGAAGCAGGTCCCACACCCTCCCAAAGAACCAGAGGCAGAGGCTCAGAAAGGGGAGCGTTCCATCTTCATGGAAATATTGATGTAGCTGTGCTGGAAAGCACCAGACTTATCAAGATCGAAATTTTTCTGGGAGATAGAGATGCTGAATTTGGAAACGGATGCACTGTTGTTCCCTGGTATCGTTAGCAACAAAGGCAAAATGTTTCCCTTTGCTGCTGCTTATCGTCTGAGATCTTGCTAGAAGTGCAGAGAGAACCTTAAATTCAGAAGGAGGTCCTGGGAGCCCAGAAGGCTGGAGGCTTAGGTCTGCAGTCTTTGCATTCAGTGCTGAGTTCCCATCTTTCCCCCGGGAGCACAGCATTGCCAGGTTTCCTGCTGGCCTTTTCTGCCCAGAAGCCACTGCACAGCAGGCTGCGGGTATGCAGGGGACTTGGCCGTTGCGGATTCTGTTTCTGTAGCAGGGAGCACATTGTGAGATTTGCTTGAGCAGCTCTGGTTTTGGCTCCTCCGTGATTTGCTCTATTTATTCTTGTTTTTGTTTTTGTTTTTTTGTTTTTTTTTGGTACTGGGGATCAAACTCGGGTCCTCGTACTTGCGAGTCAGGCGACAGAACCACTGAGCTAAATCCCTGGCCCCTATTTATTCTTGATCCATTCAGAGTGAGCTCCCTTGGGCCTGGGGGCCACAAGGCTGAGAGTCACAGTTACAGGGCTCGTTCTGTTTCCCCCGAGTGGGAGGGTGCGGAGTGTACAGCCAGCCCTCCCTGCAGTTCACAGAATGTTCAGTGTGATGTATTAGCCTGGTTTTTCTCTCATAAACAATGGCACAAGACTTTGCAAGTATGGAGAGTCCTGTAATAATCATGGCCATGCTGGCACAGTGAGCTATACGGGTTTTTTCATTTTTCTGGCAGTGACAGCTACCTCTGATCTTCTCTTCCCAACAGACCCAGTTTCTCGGGGTTTACTTTGTCTCATCCCAAGAGTTCCTCGCTAATGCTTACGTCTTGGCCGTGCTTCTATTCCTTGCCCTCCTACTGCAGAGAACTTTTCTGCAGGCCTCCTACTATGTCGCCATTGAAACTGGAATTAACTTGAGAGGAGCAATACAGGTATTTGGGTGATCTTTTTTTTTTTTCTTTACTTCACAATGAAAACTGTTTCATTCGCTCTCATGGACACTCAAGACTAATTCTGCTGTGAATTCACTTTTACTACTTTTCATGAGTGTCAGGAAAGGGCACAGTGGGAGAATGGAAAGCAACTTGGGCTGGACTTGGGACATGTCAGAAGCAGCTCTAGCTCCAGTCCTGCCTTGGACTGGGCCTGAGATGTCAGCAGCTCAGCCCTTGGGCCTCTTGCCCTTAAAAGTGGCAGACATCACCAATCAATCACAGCATTCTGTCCTGCTGAGAGCAGATGCAGCCTCAGAATCGCTTTCTAGATACCATTCTTCACCTAGACCTATGCCTTCGTCCAACCCCCTGTGGCTCCCTGTGCAGAGTAGATTGGGAAGATGATCAAAGTCAGGGAGGATTCAGGAAAACTTTGAAGATGGTGGTGAAGAGGGTTACCCAAGCCCTAGGGATCTCATTGGGTTTAATAATTGGAATAGTAACACTGTAGAAGAGCAGTTTAAATAGACGTTAGTTAGGTTTTCACATAGGGCTTGTACAGCATCTGCACGATCACTGAGGCCAACTATGCCCTGTTTATAAAGGGGAGAATGGGGGTAACTAGTTGATTCTGTGGTAATTGGTGATTACCATGAAGTTGTGGCAAAATCCCAAAGCACCCTTCTCCTTAAAAAATGTTCTTTAGAATAGCCAGGTGTGGTGGCGCACACCTGTAATCCCAGCACTCGGGAGGCTGAGGCAGGAGGATCGCTGTGAGTTCAAGACCACCCTGGGCTACATAGTGAGTTCCAGATCAGTCTCAACTAACTACACAGTGAGATCCTGTCTTAAAACACCAAAAATAATTATAAGTATCAGGGATCTGCCCTATAGGAGCCAGGGTCAGAGGCTCTGCTGAAAAGAGATTATTATGGTTGTGTCCAGATGTCCACTCCCCCAAAGCCTCCTGTGGTCGTAGGCTGAGTCTGGATGTGTGATTAATTCATGGTGGGGCTAGGCCTGAGGACCCTAGGACTAAGCACCTAGGTAGTCTGAATAAGATCAGAGGGTCAGAGAGATGCTGTTAAGGCCCCCTAGTTGCTTTTGCTGTCTTCTGCCACCATGAACTATTGCCCCTCTGCCATGTGCTGCTCTGCCTTGGAGCCAGCTGTTTATGGACTGCAACCTCTACCAACTGTGAGGTAAATAAACCTTTCCCTCTTTAACGTTGGGTGTCAAGTATTTTGTCTCAGCAACAACGAAAGTAATTCAGAGACTGAGGAAAGAAAAGTGCAGCCTGCAGGGACCAAACTCTGGCTATTTGGTATAGTCCGTGTGAACAATGCCACTAAAATTGCATAGTGCGCAACCTGTGCAGCTGTACCGACAGCACTTCCCACCCTCGATGGATTTTCATCGAGAAAACAGTTAATTCCTCAGGGATGTCATTGAGAGTGGTGGAAAGTATCCAAGAATATCAGAGACCCTCTAAGATTTGAGGGGCACAGACCTCAGTTCAGAAAAGCTTTCTAAAAATCCCAGCCTCTGCCCAGCCCCTGCCTGTGACAGGCAGATTTGTACCACCACAACCAATTTTGTGCTTGGATAGTTTTGTAATTAAATCTGAATTCTCTTTGTATGTTATAAGTCAAACACCAGCACAGTGTTTTCCAATTAAAAGAAAAGTGCCAAATATGTTTTTTAAAATATATTGCCATGTAATTGTTTTTATCAAACTGTTTGAATTTTTTGCATTACTCAGCGAGACTAATCTGTAAGCTCCCCAAAAGAAATACTGACATTGATTATAGAAACAGATTAGAAAATTAAAAACCTCTTCCTCCTTCCAGAGATTTCTAGAAAAGTATTTACAGCAAATTTACCCTCATGGATGAGAGCCGGTGTCTTCGTAAATTTGACAATAGTCATGTTTTTTTTTTTTTGCATAAGTTATTAAGCAAAATCCCTGTATTATATAGAATTGCTAAAATATACTAGCTCTCAGTTATGCAGTTACATGTATTTCTAACTTTACTTAATGGTGTTTTATGTGGCAGATAACTCTGTCCTCAGCATTGAAATTAGCTGCTTATTCTTCAAAGCCTGATTTCACATAACCTAGGAAGTGCACAGATTTTTCCTAAAATATCATTGCCTTTGTATTAAGCCTCACTCATGGTGAAAGACAGAACAGGTTATGCTGTGAGAAAGCCAGGCCCACAAAAAAGCTTGCATTTGCACAAAAGATGAATTACGGGCTGGAGACGGAAACACAACAGGCTGCGTTCAAGAACCGTGGTCCTAGGACACCGAAGACAGGAATGGCTTTTTCCTTGTTGGGAGCACACAGCCCGACACTTGCAGTCTTGCGGACAGGCACCATCTCCAGCAGTTAGGTCCAGCACTCCTGGAAACCATCGCCTGGTTGCTCCCATCTCCCTGTGGGGGCCCTCGGGGTGCTGGGCTGTCAGACACTTGTGGATGCCTCTCACGTGGGATGTACAGTGAGTTCAAGGCTAGCCTCGACTGCATAGCGAGACCAAAACAAAACAAGAAAAAGAAAGATTTAAGAGCTAGTCCCTCCAGGGAGAGGCCTGGCTCTCTGGTGAAGCAGCTGACTGCATCCTCCTTTGACTGTGACCTCCCAGCTTGCCCTGTAGCAAAGCCCTTGCCCTCTCTGAGCCATCAGCCACCTTGCTGTCACACTGGGATAGCAGTGTGTGTTACAGGCCTTATGCCGAGAAGCCCCTGACTCATTCCAGACCTGTAGCATCTCGGGTGGTGATCAGGCTGTTGATGATGATGATGAGTGTAAAGCACCCTGCTCTCGTTTCTAGACCAAGATTTATAATAAAATTATGCACCTCTCCACCTCCAACCTGTCCATGGGGGAAATGACTGCTGGCCAGATCTGCAACCTGGTGGCCATTGACACCAACCAGCTCATGTGGTTTTTCTTCTTGTGCCCCAACCTCTGGGCTATGCCAGTGCAGGTACTGCGTGTGGGCTGGGGTGGGGAGTGGGCGGGGGCTGCAGGGCCGGAAGCCGGAAGCCAGAATCCACTGCTGTGTGTCTGGTGATGAGTAGCTCACTGTCTTCTATTCTGTCTGCCCCTGTGAAGCTTCCAGCCCGTTGGTGTCTCCATGGGGTGTACCCTGGGTCCTTTTAGTGTCCCACACGTCGAGCTGTCTCTCTTGACTGTCAGAGAAGGCTGTGCCATTAAGCCTTTGAAGTTGCAGCCAATCTTAAACAGAAAAATCACATGTGGAACACTTCTGCAGACATGTAGAATTACGTTGCAGCAAATTGCTTATTTACATTGCAAAGTGTCCATGATGTGCCTGTAAACAAAAAGAGTAAGTTGCAAAATAAGTTTCAGCATGCTTCCTACGGAGTTGGAATATGCGTATGTATACATTTACACGGTCACGCAGAAGAGGGAACTGGATGGCCCCATGATGGGATTACAAGTGGTTTTTAGTTTTCTTTATGTATTTCTGAATTCCCCAATAAGTGTGTATTCTTTTTAAATAGAAAGTGGTGTGTGTGTGTGTGTGTGTGTGTGTGTGTGTGTGTGTATGTGTGTTACTGGAGACTGAACAAAGGGCCTCGTACATGTCAGGGAAGAGCACTACCAATGATTTACATCTCCTGCCCTTCTTCAAAAATTTTATTTAAAGAAAGTCTCTCACCAGGGATTTAGCTCAGCGGTTTGGTGGCCTGCCTTGCAAGCACAAGGACCCAAGTTCAATCCCCGGTACCAAAAAAAGAAAGGCTCTCAATAAATTGCCCAGGCTGACCTTGTAGTTGCCTCAGCTGCCCCTGTAGCTAGGATTACAGGTGTATACTACTGTGCCTGGCCCCCCAAAAAGTAATTTTTAAAGCTGAACAACCTTTGAGGCTGGCAAGGAGTAGAGGCCAGCTCCTCCTTACGTGACTCCGGCCTTGTCTGCCCCCTCTCTGGAGCGCTTCCTTTGTGGATGCAGATCCCTATCCCGGGAAGGGATCTTCCCTCTGTTGCTCAGGCCAAGCCCAATTCCCTGACCTGTTCCCAGGGGGTCTGTAGGATCCACAGAGATGCCCTGGGGTAGCACAAAGTGTCGGGCTTGTGTGAGACAGGCTGGAGCAGACACTTAACCAACTCTCAGAGTTGTGCTTTCCCCATCTATGACATGGGGACAGCTCCTAGTTTCTGAAGTCGTGGTGATGACTCCGTTAGATAATTAAGTAAAGGACCAAGACAAGAACTCAGAACAGAATGGTCCCTTAGCAAACACCACAGCCCTGTCCCAGCCCCTTTCACTTTAACCCTCACAACACAGGGAGGGGCAGGGATTTTTTTTAAATCTACATTGATTACTTTGCATATCTATCATGAAATATCATTTGGTTTGGGGGAGCTTTGTTTTGTTTGGAATAGGGTCTCACTATGTTGTCCAGGCTATCCTTAAGTTCCTGGTTTCAAAAGATCCTCTGGCCTCAGCCTCAGCGTCCTGAGTAGCTGGGGCTAGATGTGTATGACTGCTTCTGGCAGCCTTTCATTTTTAGTTCATCAGACACTGTCCCTCTGTCACTTACAGAGCTGACCAGCACACAAGAGTGACTGTCAGGAGTCACTCGAGAGTTGAGTGCTAGGGCTGTCGCTTATGTGCTAGAGCTGCTTGCCCTGGGACTCCATCCCCAGTAGGGCACCTCCCCATAAAAAGAGTTGGTGCAAAAAAATAAAAATATAAAAAATAAAAAGTCGGTGTGATCTCAGCCCCAAGGCAGGGATACTTCACCCGCGCAGGCTCGTGGGTGCCTCCTGGATGGCCACAGGACACACAAGGGTTTTCATAATATTGAAATTAGCTCAAGAGCCTATTCACGTGTAAGCCCCAGGGCTCCTGATTCATAATCTTTTTTTAGTCACCTACACTTTAAAAAAAAACCTAACAGCTTTGTTGAGGAGTAATTCACCTATTTAAAGTGTACAGTTCCGTGGGTTTTAGTATAGTCCCAGAGCTGTGCGGCCATCACCAATTTAGGACATTTCCATTAGGAACTCGTATCCATTGGCCATCACTCTGGACCACTGCTCACAGCTCTAGGCAACCACTAATTTATGTACACTTCTGAAATTCTGCTTCTCAGGCGGGTGGTGGGGGCTTGTTCATAACTTTGTGCCCACAATTTCAGGAGCTACCTAGGTTCCCTGAAGTTTATCGAAGACATCAGGTTGAAGAAGTCAGCTGTAGTGGAGACCTCTCACCCAATGGGCATCAGAAGTCCAGAGAGGGCAAAGGTCAAACCCTGTGCGACCCAGGAAACCCACAGCAGGACTGTACCAACCATCTCCTTTCCGTGGCTCCCTTGTGACAGGGCTCCCATGAGGCTCTTCGTTTGTTTTAAAGAAAGAGGGCTAGCCACTTTTCACTGAGCTCCGGTGCTATGTCAGGCACCTTTCTAGGTGTTTATCATAGAGGTTCATACTCTTCACCATAGTCCTGTGGTCAGCATTATGGTCACCGTTTGAAAGATGAAGAAACTGAGGCTCAGAGAGGTTGCTGATAAGTGTAGGGGCTGCATTAAAACTCAGGGCCAATGACCCTAGGGGTTGTGATCTCCCCGCTGCACTTGATTGCTGTCCTCACTCATCAATGGAAGACAGAGTAGCCCTCTTCCTCCTCACACTTGCCCAGCACATTCAGAGTTCCTGATTTCTGGTATTATCCCCCAAGAAGGCCATGCCCACCCCTGTACAGGAGAGGAATAGACAGAGGAGTCTGGGGAGCACAGGGGACAAGAAACAGAAGCATCAGGAAGAGCCCAGGAGCAGCCCTGTCCTCAGCTCCTGCCCCAGTGCAGCCAGATCCTTGGAGGTGATGTGGGTGAGGACACTGAGCCCAGCTCTGGGGGTGCCCTGGGAGGTTTCTCCGTGTCTGGTACAACCCAGGGGCTGAAGAACACCCTGACAGGCTCCATATGAGCAGAGGTCCTGTGGAAAAGAAGGACCGGGGTCAGGGAGAACTTTTCAGGGGGGCAAGGGGCTGGGCCGGAAGTAGTAGGAGGGTCCTGTCCATTGTGGCCCACATTTAACATCAGGCAAACAGGGAAAGGTGGTGACGAGTGAGTGCTTCTCTGCCGCTCAGAGCTCTGCTGGTGTAGGAGGCTTCCTATGATTAATGGAATCTCAGCCTCCGCCTACTCCATCCTTGAGGTGATGTAAGGGGTTTCATGCCAGCCTGTGAAGGGCTTGGGGCCTGCAGGGCCACGCTAGATGTCCACCCCCTTCACCTAAGGAAGCCAGCACATCTGTTCCTCTAGAGTAACTCTGCATTTAGGGGTGCCCACTTCTATCAGCAACCTGAGAAACTGTCATCTTGGTGCTTTGGGGACAGGGAAAGTAATTTACACCTCTCATGTGTATTCATGAGCAGAATGAATTTTCAGGGAATATCTGCCTGATTTCCCTAAAAATTAAAGACTCCAGGAGCCTAAGAGTGAAAAAAAGCAAATCTTTAGATCCAGGGCTTCTCTGTCTGGCGCGTATACGAAATCCCTCTCTGCCAATGAGAATGAAATTGCAGCCGTGGTAGCCAGCAAACAGAGCAGACAGAGATGGTGCTGCCTGCTGCCACTCACTGCAGCCTCAGCACCGAGATTTCATCAGGAGGGAAGGAGGGGAGGTCGCAGTTCATTCCCAGCCCAGGAAGAGCCCCCCATGCAGTTCCCTCCTTCCGATGCTGCTGTTATACCCTCCCGCCCCACTCTGTCCCAAGACATTTGCGAAACTTGGGCACCTGTGCATGGCTCACCCCGGGCACTGAGGAGGGTAGGGCTCCAGGGCCCTCCGGAGAGGAAGGGGTGTTCTGCAGCACCCAGGTCGGAGACCTGAGGCCGTGACCCTCCCCAGATCATCGTGGGCGTGATCCTCCTCTACTACATCCTCGGGGTCAGCGCCTTGATTGGAGCAGCTGTCATCATTCTGCTGGCTCCAGTCCAGTACTTCGTGGCCACAAAGCTGTCCCAGGCCCAGCGGAGCACTCTGGTGAGTGTGCGGGGTGTGTGTCCCCTTTCCCCGCCCCCTCCCATGACTGCCTGCTCCTCTGGGACCCCCATGCTGTGGCGCCCTTCAGTGGGTGGCGTCACCGCCTGGGCCCAGGGTTCTTTGTGTAATGGGATTAACAGAGGGGCTGGGAAGTGCCCTGTGGAACAGGAGCTGGAGGTGGTGGGACATGGGCCAGCACCTTCCTCTTGGGTGGGGAATTTGGGGGTAGAAAGGCACCAGCCTGCCGACCTGGCGCTCCCCACAGGAATATTCCAATGAGAGGCTGAAGCAGACCAACGAGATGCTGCGCGGCATCAAGTTGCTCAAGCTGTACGCCTGGGAGCACATCTTCTGCTCGAGGGTGGAGGTGACCCACAGGAAGGAGATGACAAGCCTCCGGGCCTTCGCCGTCTACACCTCCATCTCCAGTGAGTCCACCTGTCCGCAGGACGGTGTGTGAGGCGTGGGTGCAGGGTGGTGCAGAGGCGGGAGGCTTCGAGATCATCTGATCCAGGAACTTCAAACTGGCTCCGGTAGCCAAGCCCCTGAAATCAATGTTCTTCATTGTTTCTGCTGCAAACCTGTGCTCAAGCGCGCTATGTGCGGGTCCCCAAAAGGCAGCGGGTGAGAAAGTCAAGCAGGTCCCCTTCATCACTGAGCTGATTAAGAAAAGAAAAAGCAAATGAACAAGAGTTTCCCATTCTTCTGACTTTTCAGTAAGTCTCACTTAGCGGCCTCTGTCTCAGGAAGCTATAGAACAACTTCCATCTCCCTGAGGCCATGCAAAAGAAAAAGGCAGTTATCCTTAAAGAATCAACCCCGCACCTATAAACCCAACACTCCAGGAGGCTGAGACAGGAAGATTGAAAGTTCAAGTCCAGCCTGGGCAGTTTACAGACTTAGCAACACCTTGCATCAAAAACAAAAAATAAAAAAGGCTGTGGGTATGGCTCAGTGCGGAGGTCCTGCATTTAATCCACAATACTGAAAAGAAAATTAGAAGCCAAAGTTTAAGGTACAGGGATTCATGGGTATAGGGATTGGGAACCCTGATCCAAGGAAAAAAATTAAATAGGCACAAACCAATAAAACTCCTAGGGTCCTAGCAGATACATGTATGAAAGCTACTGTGTAGAGACTACAGGACTCCTATGGCAAACACTTCTGTTGAACAGTGAGCTAATATTTAAAGAAATAAAAATCCACACAAGAAAAATACACCACCAGAGTAAGAATCAGCAGATTAAAACAGAGTCTCTCAATACCTGGAGATAGTAGTCTAAAAGATAATAAGGTAAGTGTGCTTAATGTAATTAAAGAGCTGCTTGAAAGTGTAAAACCATCAAAGCAACACAGGAAAGTATCAGGGGAAAAGAACACAAAGAACTTCTAGAAGCTCAAATTTCGGTGATTGAAATTAATTCAGTGAGCAATGGTCCCCTGGCAGAGCGAGGGTGGGCGGATGTCAGGAGACAGGGGAGTCCTGAACCAAGTTGGGCTCTCATTTGACCTCGCAGCTTTGTGGACCCAGCCCATAGAGTCACTTCCCAAGCGGAGAATTGGGATGTAGATATTTAGCAAGTGACAGGTTTCCCTCTGTTCCCTTGTGTGTCCGGATTAAGGCCATCATGGTATGAACAGCCAAGTGGTTGCCTTCAGAGGGGGAAAAAGACAAAACAAAAAATATTCAAAAGTCCAACTCACTGTATGAGATAAATGAATTAGTGTAACTGAGAGAGAATTTGTGAGTCAGGAGACAGACCTGTAGGGATTACACAGGATATAGTAAGAAGTGGACGTGGGAATGCTTTCTGCCTGTTGGACAACCATTCTATAGATGGGAAATCGAGGCCCAGAGGGGAGTGTGCTCCTGACTTAGCAGTGTGACTTGGACTAAATCTTAGGGTCCTCTTTGTGTTATTTCCCTTTGCGAGCAGGGGGCCTAGATGGGATGAACGTGATTTGGCACACAATAGGCCATCATGGCCAAAAATGGCCACAGAAAGGAGTGGGAAGTAGGAGAGGAAATTAGGAGAGATGACTGATACTAACCACCTCCTTGGGGAGGAAATTAGTGGAGATGGCTGATGCTGCAGCTGAGACCCGGCTGTCGGGGTGGCAGGTGAGGGCACTAATGGAAGATGTGCCGGAAACATCTTCCACATAGACTCATTCAGCAAGCCTGTGGAGACTGAGATGGTCCCTCTGGTCACCTGCATGTTCTTGATGTTCGAGCTTCTTAGAGAGGGTCCGACAGGGCCAGCACAGTGGCCATGCCAGCCACCAAGACTGGTACGAGCCATGGCATTTTTATGCAGAACACCCTGCAAACATCTGATCTTCCCAGAGTGGAGCTGTGGGCATAGCAGACAGCAAGTGCTTCCTGGATTCCTCCCCGGCACAGCCCTGGTTCCCATCTCTCCCCTTTATGCTTATGCCAGAGTGAGGGTGGTGCTCTGTGGTGCTCAGAGCAAGCCAGCCCTCCCCAACATAGCCAGTGTCCCCAGGGCCCAGGCCACTTCCACGTTCTCTCCGTGGCTGTGCCTGCTGCCCCAAGGGGTGGTTTTGTTAACAGCTGCCCCCCATTGCATACAGCGCCCCCCAACCAGGCTACAGACACCTGCTGCAGAGCTCTCAGCAGCATTGCACAGGTAAGGAAGGGCCTCTCCCCAGAGCTAGACTTCCTGTCCCTGCAACAGCAGGGTGGGGTGGGATGAGGTACGGCAGCTTCCCTATTGCTGACGGGGCGGGGGGAAAGGGAGCAGTGAAGAAGTGAAGAAAGTGGGGATACTAGGTCCCTAAGATTCTTGTCACAGTAGGCATCCAAGTAGGGGCACCCTTAGGATGCATGGTTGAGACAGGTGGTAGCTTTGATCCTAGGAGATGTGTATTCATTACCTGAATTCTAAGATGCACCCTGGGACTTGATTTTATATGTAAATATGAGCAGCCAGAGTTCCCAGGCCTGAGGAACCCTATCTAGCAGGTGCTCTTTGTCCCGTCAGAGCCTCAGGAGACAAGTCATGGCCAGGAGGACCTGGTGGGAGGAGATCCCATGTTGTCAGGAGCTAAGACGATCCTGGAAAGAGCAAGGGGGTCTGGAGCCAAGCTGGAGCCTGCCCAGGGCCCTGTGCCTGCCCAAGTGACCTAGAGGATAAACAAAGTAGGGCTGGAAATGTAGCTCAGTGGCATTGGGCCTGCCTGGCAAGCACAAGGTTCTGAGTTCAATCCCTAGTACCACACACACACACACACAAAGAGTGGCACACATGGGTCCCTGAGGGGGCAGCGAGGGAAGGAAAGGGAGGAGCACTCAAGTTTCCAAATTTAACTGTTATTATTTTAATTGTCCATGTGTATGGCATATAGTGTAATAATTCCATCTGTGCATATAATTTAAAAAGAGAAAGTCAGGGGAGTTAGCACATATTTCTCCTTAAACATTTTGATTTCACATTTTGACTAACACGTAATCATTGTACATATCTGTGAGGTACAGTGTGAGAGTTCAATGTGTGTACTAATCAAATTGAGGTAATCAGTGCATCCACCTCACCATCACTGTGTGTTGAGTCTTCGAGTGCCTGTCTAGTTATTCCGAAAATATATAATAAGGTATTGTGAACTATATCCCACACACATGAACTGAAACTTGTGTGAAATAAGTTCTCTGTCCTATGTGGATGCTAAGAAAGTTGGTCTGAGAGGAGAAGAGTGGTTACCCAAGGTTGGGAAGGATGGGAAGTGGGGGCTGAGGGGAGCTGGATAATGAGTACAGGGCATGGTGCCAAAGCACGTCCGTCCTCTCAGGGGGTGTTTTTTTTCTAAATCCCATTTTCTAAATACCTCCTGGCTGCAGGTATACACTTGTGTGTTTTCATTTCCCTCCTCCTGGACTTCCTGCCTCCTGTTGCCAGGGATCAAGACACGGATCATTACTCCGGGGTAAAGTTCCCATCCCGGCGTCAGTCATGGGGTCCTGGTGACACACAAGAGCTGTGGAATCACATTTCCTAATGGGTCCCTCCTGGGCCTCCATGCGCCATGAGGTCAGATGGTGGGCAGACAGGATCAGCTCTGACACTCTTATCTGTAGTCTCCCACGCAGTGTCACTGCGAGCTCCAGAAAATGGGGCCCTGGCAGCAGAGAAGGTGGACAAGGGAGGGCACAGATGCCCTGATAGCAGACATCCAGAGTGCGTATTTCCTCCTGGAGGAAAACAGATGTAAATTACAGGGTGCCCAGCGGACCCTGTGCATGTGCCCTCCCAGGGCTGAGCCTCAGGAAGATGGAAGGGACAGTAGATGCAGCAGAGGGGACTGAGGCTTGGGAAGGTGAAGTGACTCACTGAGGACCTCAGCCAGCAAATGGCAGAGCCAAGCGAGAGAAGCCCAGGTGGCCGAGAGTTCACAGAGATTCTGGTAGAGCAGATCCTTTGCATGCGGCATAGGATTTCAGGAGCAGGAGACAAAGTGACAAAAAGCTGGAGGGAGGCAAGTGTCATGGTCGCTCCCTTTTAAAATCGGCTCAGTCCTCATTTCCTTGCAGAAGCAGTGTAACTCTAGGTGCTTCCTCTGCATTTGAGGACAGACTTTGCAGAAGTGACAAACGGGTCCTAGGTCCAAATAACCATTACACCACCGTTCATTTTGTTCTCTTTGTGACACCCATCCTAGAGCCTTCTCTCTGTGCCAGACCCTGGGCACTAAGAGAAGGTAGGTAAAGTCCTGGCCCTCGCAGTCCTAGAGAACATTTACCATAGATGTGACGGTGGCTGTGCGTGTGATCAGGGCCACAGGCTCATCCCGAATGCCCCTCTCTGTTCTGTGTTACGCACCTGGCTCTGGCTCTTTCGTCTCTTTCATTCATTCAATTATTTAAGCAGTGTTTCCTGAGCGTCTCCCTGTGCTAGGCACTAGGTGGGCAAATATATTAGTCCCAGCCCACAGGTCACTTATGTGGAGAGGAACGAGACCACCAGAGCAGGCTAGTGGAAAAGCAAAGAGGCATGGACTTTATGCACCTGGGTGGAGGTGGACCGAGGGTGAGAGGCAAAGAGAAGGCAGGAAGCTTTGTAGAGCTTTGGAGAAGTCTAGCACATCTGTCATGTATAGGGGTGCAAACATCTGTGGTTGGGGTCCATGCAGCGGTCAAGGCAGAGAAGATGTGCTGTACTGTACTTTGTGGTCTTTCCTGTAACATCTCATCCTGTGCTCTATCTGCTCCGAGACAGCATGGTCTGTGTCCAGCAGAGACAGCACCACTTGCCTCTGCTGCATGTTTTTCTGAGGGCTGCAGGTTTTGTATCTGTTAAACTGTAGCTTGGAATCAAGCAGCATTCCCATTAACTACTTCATGACCAGGTCAAGCCTGACAGCTTTACCGGGGAAGCCACCTATGCACCAGCACCGTAAGTGACAGGAACAGAAAGGTTTGTCCTGGGTGCCCATAAGACTTATGAGTTGTACCCAGGCTGGTCTTGCAGGCAGTGGCTGTCAGGTAAGGCTTGTCAGAGGTGAAGCCCATTGCTGGTTCCCAGAGCATGGCCACGAAGGAGCCAGTGAGACCTGGGGGTGGCAGAGATGATGGTGTGTCCCATTCTTGCAGAACTAGATGAGGGGAAGGCAACGGGACAGGGTGAGGTGTGGGACTATGTGCGCTTTGTTCAGCCCCTCAGGCTTTCTCTGGAGGCCCGGGGAGCCGTAGGATTTGATGTGAGAGAAAGGCTGGGGCTGGGATGTAGCTCAGTGGTAGTGTGCGTGCCTGGTGTGCAGGAGGCCCTGGCTTTGATCCCCAGTGCTATCTCTTTCAGTGTTCTGTGCTGATGGGTCTGGACCACAGTCAGCGTAACTGGTCCCATACTGTTCGGGGAAGGGGGGTCTCCTATTCAGCCATGGATGGTTGAGGGAAAACAGGGTGGTGCTGTGAACCCTACTCACAGGACCCCAAGCAAGGCCCCTCTCCACAGCCCCCAGGCCTGCCTGTCTTGCTTTCCCTCTCTCCTCCCTGAATCACGTTAGCCAGCATGGGGCACAGGGGCACATGGAAACCTGCTCTTCTTCCTTCTCCAGCTTTTCTGAAATTCTCTGATCCTGCCCTTCCTTCTGTCAATTGTTTATGTGTATCCTGGCCTGGTTTAGTGGGAAAGGCAGCTGAAGAGGGAGTGTCATCAATTAAGAGGGCAGAAATCAGCTTGACCTTGGGCTTCCCACAGCTTCTGAAGCTTCCAGCCGCAGAAACACCTCTCACCAGCTTCTCTTCCCCCTCTGTTGACTCCTGTGATAATTGGGCTGAACGGGAAATAGTCTTGTGTCCTTTAAAATGCATTTCCCCTCCTGCAGGTGCAACTTGCAGTTAGACCCAGGATTGAGCCTCCTGGCTCCCTGCCCCCCATGCCCACCACCTGCAAGAGGCAAAGATGGAGTTAACCAGAGGTATAAATGACTGCTGGGCCTCCCTGACACACGGCTGATGAAATATTAATCAGGGCGTAGGAATTGAAAAGCTCCTGGTTTTGCACTGCCCACTGGCACCCACAGGGCCAGGCAGCATTCCTTGGGCAAAGCCAGGGTGGGCTGGTGACTGGTTCCTGCTTTGGTGTTGATAGATTTGGTATTTTTTTGAGGTTGGGTTTAGGAAAAACTGACACAATTGCTCATTTCTGCATCTCCAAAACGCAGCGTAATTCCTAAAACAAGGCACACCACTCAAAATGAGTTTTGCATGAGTAACTGTTAAAAACCATTTTTTAAAAAAAAACCACATGTTTTGTATCATCACAAAAGGGCTTTTGATTTGATGGCGGCCTTCAGGCCCCTCACGCAGAGCTAAACTCCACAACAACGCCACACTGTCAGATTTCAGCATTGTCATGGTCTTCGTTTTCTGTGTTTTGCTTTTTTTTTTCTAAATCAGATCAAGGTGAGTTACTGCGTTCGGTTAGAGTTGGAGTCCTTGGTCATATTTCCCTTCCCTCCCACCTCCTTAGAATCCTACAGAGCTTTATGTGGTTTGGGAAAATGGGGGTGAGGCCGCAGATCTTCAGGCCCAGACAGCTAGATACCCCGTGCCCCGCCCCACCCGCAGCTCCTGCTGTGCCCTGAGAGGTACCTCCCAGTGCTGCCATCCCCAGGGCAGCCACATGCACCCCAGGCCCACGGGCGATCTGCAGAGAAGCCCTTGAAACACAAGCAGCCCGGGATCCCACCCCAAGCCCCACCTGAAGGGGACCCAGAACTCTTCTTCTAAGGAGCCATCCTTCCAGGAGGGGCTGCAGGAACTGGCAAATCACATTTTCATTCTTTAGCATCTCTGTACGGCAGCCAGAGCACCACGGAAACTAATTATATCGTAAGCGTGTTCCATATTGCTGCATCAGCTTGGACATGCTCATTTTTTAATTTATTTATAGTGTGTCTCATTCCTCAAAGGAGTTCAGGCGGCTATAAGAATAAAGATGACAAAACAGAAAAAAAAGTATACATTTTTAAGTCATGAGCAGGGAAAACGTGTCGGAGGATAGGATATCGATTACCACACGTTTTTCCATCTGCAGAATCAGCCCAGAGGTGGTGTGCCATCATTTACTAAAACAGCCTCTCCTGTTGGAAGTTTCTAGTTTATTTCATTGCAGGTAGTTTTGCTTTTTGCTGTGGTTGTAGCTTTGTTCTGCTGTGACAGACAGTGCCGCCACTAACACCATCTTGCTGGTGGCTTTGTACCTTTCTTGAGTGATTATTCAGGATAAATTCCTAGGAGACAGATTATGGGATCAGAAGGTCTGAACTTCTGTGGTGCTCTAGCAGCAGAGCACCAGATCGCTTTCTAAGCACGCTGTACTGATTTACAATGCAGCGCCTCGCCCTGTTCTTTAGCTGGGAGGAGAGCCCGCAATGTGAAGGAGGGCTCTTGGCCTGGAGCAGGTGCCCGGGCTGGTGCAGACACTGGCTGCAGCTTGAGCCCTATGCCACTGGTGGTTTACTTGGACTGGGGCAGGGCTGGTGCAAGGCCCTGCCCTGAGAGAGCACCTGGGAATAATCAGCACAGAAGAGCAGGGGCAGGGCTACCTTGTATTTAGAGCTGTGTGGCTGGTGATGGTCAAGGGCACCCACCTGATGGGCTTCTTCCTTCTTCTCTTCCTCCTCCTCCTCCTCTTCCTCCTCCTCAGCCAAGCCAGTGGTGTCCTGTGTCCCAGCCCCAGTCCCTTATACTGAGGGAATAGCCAATAATCCAGCAACTGTAGGGGAGGCCGATATGGCGGGCATTTGCAGACCACCCACTCCTTTATCAAGAAGAGCAGTTAAAGCATAGTCATGTGCAATATTGCCATTGATTTTCTTCAAAATCTTATAGTCAAATTAGCAGTGCTGCCAAGGGCTCCATTCATATACTCACGTCCTCTGTGAGGCTGGGAGCTCCCTGTGTAGTGGCCTTGTCACCCCCATCACCTTAGGAATCTCCCAGAGAGGGGGACAATGTCTTGCCTGTCTGCTTGGCAGCTTCCCAAGGGCACTTTCTCTCTCTGCCCATCATATCAACAGCCTCCTAGGAGCATAGTTCTTGTCTCCTTCCTCTGACTGGGAGTCCCCCAAAGGCAGGGGCCTTCTAACCATTCGACAGTCCTTGAAGTTGGGGACTACATCTCCAGCATGCACTCTGCACATGCCAACAGGCGTGGAATTCCTGCAGTGAGTGGGCAGCCAGTCAGCTGGAATGGTGTTGACCACCTGGACTTCAGAGTTTCAAAGATGTCGCCATTCATTAAATGAGGGCTGAGCCCTTGGCACCTGGCTAGTTGCAAGGTTGCCTGGAAAGGAATCTGGGGTTGCCTGGAAAAGAAGGGAAGGAAGAAAGATAAGATGGGAAGGTGGCAGCTGGGAGAATCACCTTTTATTCCGGGGGGCTGCTCTTCCTGTGAGGGGTGGGGTCAGCATTCTCTCGGGCATTTCACACCCCCAGCCAGAGAGAGGTGACTGTGGAGCAGAGCTAAGGTACAATACTCAGGCATCACATCCGGCTCGCAGAACCTGTCACCTACACGTGTGTTGTGTGAACAGGTAAGTACGAGTTTACAAAATTCAGGTGAGGAAACTGAGGCACGGGGCAAGTAAATGACCCGCCCGAAGACACATGCCATATAAATAACAGGGACCCCACCGTTCTGTGAGTCTATGTCCAGTGTCCGTGGCTCTCTGAAGTCCCTGTAAAAGATCTGAGGCCACAGGAAAGTCCAGTGCTGCAGCAAATCAGCTGCCCATGTGAACATGGACTTCAGCCTGAGGTCTCAGGAAAACCCTGACTTAAGCCATCCCAGTCTCGGATACCTTGGTGTGGAGGAGTTTGAACTCCTCCCAAGAGCTGTAGGGGACCAGAATGCTTCCCTGCCCCAGAGAGAGCCTGGCTTGGGAGTTACAGGGCCAAAGGCAGGGGAGGGGCACCAACTCGGTGCCTCTGGAATCACCTGCTGCCAGCCTCTTCGTTGGCCCAGGCAGCCAGCACTGCAGCCCTCCGACCTCTTCCCACGGGCCATGGAATGGAATGAGAACGCTGAAGCCTTTATTCCAAGCTGAGTCTCACGGCCAAGGCGTCCTGAGTGAAACAGGGCAAGGAGCCAGGGTGCCACAGAGCTGCAGTTTCACCCTGGCAGGCTGGGAGAGGACGGCGGCCCTGCTCTGCCCACCCTGCCCTGGGCACCCTCCTGTTCTGCTGGCTCTTTCCTCCCCCAAGTCCTCTTCTGCTTCCTCCGCAGTTTTCATGAACACGGCCATCCCCATCGCCGCGGTGCTCATCGTAAGTGGCCCTGGGTTCCACCCCCGAGGCTGGGGCGGGGAAGACATCTGCGGTAACAGCGTCTGGATCTGGCCCTTCTGCCTGGGGGCCCTCAGGGGCTTGGCGGTCACAGGGCTGGGTCCTCAGGGCCTGGAATACCTGAGGCTGAAGATTCAGGGCAATTCTACTTCCTTTCAAAAGTAGCCGTCAGCTTTTTAATTATAAAAATGAGACACTGTTCACTGTGGAAATGATGGAAAATTCAGAAAGGAAAGCACAGAGAGAATTAAAAATCCCCCGTGATCCCAGTTAACATCTTTAGGGTGTTTCTTTCCAGTCTTTTTTTAAGTCATTTCCTCAAACATAGGAGCCTACTGCTTGTACAGTTGTGTAACTGGCCTTTTAAAATTTAGGAATATGTCATATACAGCCTTCTGTGTCATGAAGTGTCACACGGTGCTTTTCTAAAGTGATTGTGACAAAAGCTGCGTAGACCTCAGCACTGGAGACAGGCCATGTGCCCCATAGAAAGGTCCAGGACCCCCAAACCTGAAGCCCCCTACCCAGCCTTCCACCCCCACCCCCACCCACATGGCCGCAGTTCTTTAAAAAGCTGTTTTTACTTCCCCTGGAACCAGTGGTTGTGAGCTGTGTGGAGTTCACAGCCTGTCAGGGACGCTTGGGAATTCGCTTGCACTGTGATTTATTGGGCCCGTTCCTGGCCTGGCTCCTTGGAAACCACGGGTAACAGGGCACTGAGCCAGCCAGGTGGTGGGCAGGCCCAGGGGAAGTGGCCTGGCAGGGACTGTTGTTTGTTTTTTCCCCAACTGAGAACCAGGGAAACGAGCACCCAGGCTTCTGCCTAGGGAGGGGACAGGGATGACCTCCCCGGAGGGCTGTTTCTGATCATACATGACGAGGGGGTGGGTCTAAGAGGAAGCTGCCCTGACCCCCTGCATGACGTCCTGACCCTGCTGGGGACATTGCACAAGAGGCTGTGGTGACGATGAATGTCTCTAACCGAAAGGTCCCTTTAGGTGGCACCTCCCAGTCTCTGAGTTCCTTCCCAGGGCTGGGTGCTTCTAGTGTGGGAGGCAGCCCTCACCCTAGCCACCCTGGCCTCACTGGTGCCTCTGTCCACAGACCTTCGTGGGCCACGTCAGCTTCTTCAAAGAGTCTGACTTCTCACCCTCTGTGGCCTTTGCCTCCCTCTCCCTCTTCCATATCCTGGTCACTCCGCTGTTCCTGCTGTCCAGTGTGGTCCGCTCTACCGTCAAAGCTCTGGTGAGGTGAGAAGAGAATGTGGGCAGGGGTGGGGACAGGAACCTGCAGGGTTGTAGGTCAGCACTGGGTTTGCCTTAGTGACCGCTGGACCACAGCTGACCGGGGCCTGTCTGAAGCCAGCCACAGCTGGTCAGAAGGATACGGGGCTTATGAATTTTCCCGGCACAGCATACATGGGGAAGGACTCCAGGGGGTGGGGGGCTCACTGTCACCTCCAGGACAACTTTGAAAGAAAAAGAATTAATGAGCTGAAATTGGCATCCTCATAAATTCTACTCATGGATGCTCCTAGTTCCACTCCTCAGAGCCTCCCCGAAAGGTGCCACTTGACCCCACGTGCTGGCCTGAGGGATAGCAGAAAGTATCGTCTGTCTGTCACAGGCCCAGCATCCTCTGCTCCTTCTGTGGTCCCAGAACCTTCCCAGCACCTCCAGGACAGCAGCTTCCCCCAGGTAGCTACAGTTGCATCCTGAGTGGCCCCACAGCTCTGGGCCCTAAAGCCCAGCAGCGACACCCTGCCAGCCTCCCAGAGGTGTTGCCCTTTGGAGAACAAAAGTCTGAAGGTAGAGGCTGATGCCCCACTGGGCAGTGCAGCGCCTGTGGTACCAAGGTGTCTGTGGGCCTATGAAACAGCTCCTTGAAAGCAAGAGCCTTTCCTCTCAGGGGAGAACTGGCCGTGTCCTTACCCATCATCAGAGGGACCAGACATAACATGTATCCTCTGTGTCTTCAGCTTTGAGGAAAGTGACGTCCTTGACTCGTGGGACCCCAGCCGGTCCTAGACGGCTGTCAGGAAGGAGTAGCTGTTGGAATGAAGTAGCTGATATGGAGGCAGCTTGCAGAGGAAGCTGTCAGAGAGATTCAGAGATGGGAGGAGAAATGACTTTAAAATTATGTCAGAGGAGTAGATGGCTGAAAAGGAATTAGCTCCCACTTCCAGAGTGGTAGCCCTGGCCTCTGTTACTGACCACGGCGTTGTGATTTCAAATGACCACACCTTCTCCTGCCATCTCACGCCAGCCCTATCATTTGGTGTCAAAACTGCAGATCAAGGATGCTGCACCTGCTAGAAACCCATGTCACCAATCCCAAAGTAGCATATTTGCAAGAACTGCATTCTGCTGTCCCCAGAAACAGAATACAAGAGCAGCTGAAGCCTCTTTAACAAGGGATCTCAAGCTCTGGGCTGAACGTGGGAGGAAGCAGGACACCCCCAGAAGCTTCACTCTGGGAGATGAGGGCCAGCTATGGTCCACCCTCCCAGGGCAGGTGGCCAGAACAGAAGAGCCTGGCCACAGCTCCTTCACAGCCCCAGACTGTCCTTGCTCTGAAGGTTGAGAAACCCCCTGGACATTTGGCAAAAAGGCAGAAAGGGGTATAAACGATTCTCAGGCTTCCACAGGGAGCTTCTGAACCCCAGGGATAAGAGAGTATGGGCTGAAATGGGGAACGTTTTAGGTGCCACCTCCCAGCCATAGGAAATTCTTCTGGGAGAGGGATGGGAACAGTCGCCCCCTCCATGGCTGAAGACAGATGACACCTGCTCCAGCAGCTTGTTATGGGGATTGGGCTCTGTAATGCTTATAAAGCAGTTAACACAGTGTCTGGTGTATAGTACATGCTCACCACATGCTAGCTATTGTTAGTCCTAATCCTAACTAACCTTAACACTAATCAACCTTACTGGTAACTCTAACAGTAATAAACAAAGCCTGATCTCAATCACCCATAATCCAGATTCATCACCTCTAACATTAAACCTAGCCTAAAATTATCCAGTCCCATCTCTAATCCAGGGCTCAGCTAACTGGCCATCCCTAAAAAACTCCCAGTGACATCTGTTACCCACCCCCTTGAGGTGCCCATGGTCTGTCCACATCCTGTATGGGTTTTGTGGGGCCCCTCTCAAGACCAGGACCCTTCTCTGAGCTGCCACTCAGGCCCTGTCCTTCTCCCTCTCCCCTCCTCTGCCCCTGGCAGGGGTGAGGGGTGTCTCTCTGCTTCCTCTGCAGCGTGCAAAAGCTGAGCGAGTTCCTGTCCAGTGCAGAGATCCGCGAGGAGCAGTGTGCTCCCCGAGAGCCTGTGCCCCAAGGCCAGGCCAGCAAGTACCAGGCAGTGGTGAGTGCCAGGCCTCCTCCTGCTCTTCCCAGCATTTTCTTCTATGGCCTCTGCCTTTTCTGCCAGGAAGAGGGGCTCCCAGACCAGGGGGCCCTCACCTCCTCACCTTTCCCAGCCCCTCAAGGTTGTGAACCGCAAACGTCCTGCCCGGGAGGACTGTCGGGACCTCATGGGCCCACTACAGAGGCTGACCCCCAGCGCAGACGGGGAGGCTGAAAACTGCTGTGTCCAGGTAAGCCCTAGACCCTGTCCCCCTCACCCACCACCCACCACCATCTCCCAGGGGGACCTCAGCACCTGGAACTGGGGCCAGAGACCTGGGTGCACAGAGGTCCCTCTGACTGCCTGTCAGAGCCCTAAAACCAAGGACAGTGCTTCTGTCTCCTCCCAGGGCCCCCTTTCCTCTTGGGAGGGTGCCTCTGGCAGAGGTCAGTCCCCAACGCCCCCGCTGTGTCTCCCGGGACTGGAATTAGAGTCTCTTGGCTTCTATGGAGGAGGGGAGGCAAGCAGCTATTCACAACGAGAACCTGCTGCCTTTCTCTCCTTTTCTACCTGGTGGGGTGTGGCCAATGAAGATCCTTGGAGGCTTCTTCACCTGGACCCCTGACGGAATCCCCACACTGTCCAACATCACCATCCGCATCCCCCGAGGTAAGCTGCAGCCAGCCCTCCTCATGACCCCTGCCCAAATCAGACAAACGCCCACCCTGTACTCACTTTTTTTTTTTTTTTTTTTTTTTTTTTGGACCGGGG